TTCTACCGAAAAACTTCAAACTTTATTGCAAACATTTCAAATCAATCACTAGATTATCCACTTTCATCGTAACATTAGACGRATATTTCATAATTATAAAATATATTATACACTTATTAATTATTATCGGATATTCTCTGTCGATTATAGGAATAAGTAAGTTGATTTAATTTTAAATAATTATTTAATATTACACGATTTATAATATACATCTTAAATATGGTTAAAGTTTAATCTTATGTTTATATTATATTCAACATGATTTTAATGAGTAATGAGATTTTTTTTTTAAATATCTGCGTTCTATATCAACATAATTTTGATAAGAAATGTGATTTTATTTTTTAAATATCTGCATTCAATTTTCCGAGTTTCTAAAAAAAAAAAGTTAGTTTTAGTTATAATCTATTATAATAAAATATTAACCATAAACTACGTGTTTGTAATGTTTAATTCTATGCAGATATTGCTCATATTCATGATAAGCCTATGGAATGGTTGTGTGAACGTGCTATACTATACTCACTCCAAAAAATGACCAAGCGGCGGCTATCAATGATACACTGCTGATGTCTTTTGAAGGGGAAGAAAAAGTATATACTTCGATTGATACGGTGGTCGACATGGACGATGCAACTAATTATCCGGTTGAATTTTTAAATTCATTTAAACCACCGGGCATGCCATATCATAGACTTATTTCTGCGTGTGGGCACACCTATTATGTTGTTGCGAAATTTGAAACCGCCTAAACTGTGCAATTGGACCAGGCTTAAAGACAAAGCTTTAGATCGCAATATAGTAGAAGCCACAATTTTAACAGGATGTGCAAAAGGGGAAACTGTGTTTGTACCACGATTCTCTTTAACTCCGAATGATCATCCGTTCGAATTTAAACTATTACAGTTTCCCCTGAAAGTCTGTTTTACAATGACTATAAAAAAGTCTCAAGGCCAAACTCTTAAATTTGCAGGAATAGATTTGCGAGAAAAATGTTTTTTACATGGGCAATTCTACGTAGCTTGCTCACGCGTAAGCTCACCAAATAGCTTGATGATTTTGTCGCCTACTAATAGATCAGTGAAGAACATTGTCT